CCGGGGAACTAATGGTGTAGTTGTAGTTGTATATATTGCTAGGGTTCAAGTTTAACTTTATTTGTTTTTGTTTTTTCTTGGTATTTTTTTTATAACTGTTGATTTGAGAAACATACAATCTTGGAATTATGGGAATTTAGTGGTAGATAGTTCTTTACTATTGTATTCTCCATTACATATTGTAAAGGAAACCACCGTGGCAAAATTTTTCAAAAACGTTCCTGAGAGCGAGTTTTGATGCACCAACTCAATCTTATTTGTGGAAATATGTGTGATGTTGTGGTTGTAAAATATGGCCACCTTCATGGTTGTGCTTATATTTCTTATTTTCCCCCAACCCCTTACTACGATGGTTCCACCTTTTCTTGTGAAGTTAATAGGAACAAAGAACCTGGGAATGCGACCTGAAGGAGATTCAAGGATATGCTAAAGTGTCTTATGAGAACAAAACAATGAGAAACAATTGCACAATTAGAAAGGCAAAGAGGCAAACTATTCGCAAGTTGGAGGCTCAATTGAGTCAAGTGGTTGGAGCTTTTAATGCTCAAACAATCCAATATTGATTGATAGTAGCCAAGAAGAGCATGAATTTGAGGTATTAATTGGGGAGGTCAAAAGCAGAACGTCAACAACCTCTAGCCAACTGAATTTGAAGATGTCAATGTGAAGAATGTGAGACTTAGAGTCAGCCAAGACATTGAGGATACAAATTTTGTGGACCTCTAGTATCATTTGATGTTGAGGATGCTGAAAGTCCTGAAGTTCATGTGTGTGAGCGCATTGGTCCTCACTCCAAATATTTTTACATTGTTGCTTGGATGACGATATGAAAATAGAGTACTCCGAGCCGATTGAGAAGTCAAGGAATGAAGAACAAGGTGCCTATATTCTGGAATTTTTCCTACCAGAAAGACAGGACTACATACCTCATCTAAAAGCCAAGAAGTGTAGAATAGTACAATGTTGCTTGACCAATTAGATTTGTTCCTCCACCCCTGGACGATAGCCGAAAAACTTGATGCCAAATTGGGGGTTCAATTCATAAGCTCGAGGGGAGGCAAAAAAGTGATTCGCGTCGTGCCGCGACGTTTAAATCAAGCACTTGTTGGGAGGCAACCCATCTTTATTGCTTTCTTTTATTTTTATTTTTATTTTTTATTTTTTTAATTGTATATTTTTGTAAGTGTTCAATTTTTTTATTTTTCTAGGAGCATGGAAAGCAAAGGTATTGGAAGGATGCATCAGCAAACCAAATGTGGTTAGAACTAAGTGTGAGGTACCCACACGAAGGACCAAGCTTTGGGAGAAGTCTGAGACTACCCCATGAACTGCTAGTGCTTCGGCTTTGCCTACCAGGAGTTTCTTTTACCCTCTTGTATGCATGGTGTGGCATTGGGGACAATGCATAATTTTAAGTGTGGGGTGAGGAGATTGTCTGGGTGTTTTTCATGCTACTTTAGCTGTGTTTTTTTTAAAAGATTGGACTTTTCCTGATGACGGATCTTCTAGACAGTTTTTCTTGAGGGAAGTAAGTCTAAAGAAAATACCAAAAAGATTTTTTGTTTTGTTAGGTAGTGTAGCAATTACCCCTTGGTTTTTCTTTAAACCACGGCTCTTTTCCAAGGATTTTATTTGAACCGGGTGTAGTTAGTTTTTTTTTTTGGGAATAGGAGCCATTGTATTTTGTTTTGAAATGAAGCAATATCTCTTGACTTTGTTATGCCTTGAGAAAAGTGAGTACTTTGGCTGTGACGCTTAGGCTCAGTTTTTGACTCTTGTATAAGTACCTTAAATTGTATGATCTTAAATTTGCTTAACTGCTTTGACTAGGGTGTCTTGATGAATCCAATCCTGAGTGAGTTATGTGCCATGTGTGTGTAAGGTTTTGTGTTATTTTGTGCAGTGCATTTGATGCCTAGAACTTGCCCCGTGTGTTTGCAAAGCGAAATAGTAGTGTTATTCAGTCTTGGAAGTGATATAGGCGTTTTCTTGTTGAGCCAGATATGTATATTTTACCCGCCTAATTATTATGTATCGTAGTTAACCCTTTTGAGCCTGTAATCCTGTTTCTTTGGCAACCACATTACAAGCCTTACCCATTTGTTCGAAATTAACCATCTATTTGAAACCATTGTAACCTCTCATGAGCACTTTGAATTATTTTATGAAACTTGTAAAGTTAAAGTGTGGGTGGTTGTTTGCTTTTGAGTGGAACTAATGAATAAGGGAAAGGCACTGTTTTTAAAAAGGAAGTCCACTTGAAATGAAAAAAAAATATTAATTTGAAATTGTTGAAAAAAAAAATTATGATAAGTGTGGTGGCTCTTGACGTAAGTGTGCTTAAAGAAGTATGGGTAATATAAATGATGTGAAGGTGGAGTTTTGGTTTGACGTAAGTATGGGGTTTAAATGTTAAAATGTATGTATTAAAGTGCTTAGGGAGGTGTGTCACTCTTATATCTAAATGTATCCTACCCGTCCCGTAGCCTACATTACAACCAAATAAAGTCCTAATTGATCCAAGATTGAATGAGCTCAGATTAGTGGAGTAGTACACTACGGGCAAAGCTTATGGTGCATCTTTTGTGGCATATGAATGTTTTTCTGAGAGTGAGTGAATTCTTTCTATCTTGAGTTCCTAAGTTTCTTAAATTTTATTGTATGGAACTACTCTCTTTTGTTGTGTGAGGGCACTTGATTCATGAAGGAAAGGTAATGTCAGTGACCTCTTATATTATTGAGTAAGTGGGTTGAGGTTGTGAATAACGTGTGGTACTTGTGAGTCAAATTTTGAGGGTGAAAGATGTTACGCTTTTGTGCTTAGTCTATTTTAAATACTCATGGTGTGATGAGTTAGGAGAATTGTTTAAAAAGGTCGTGTCTATAAAAAAAAAGTGTAGTTGATAGTTTGATTGCTCGAGGACGAGCAATGGTTTAAGTGTGGGGTGTTGATGATAGGCTATAATTACGTATTTTAGTCGCTTATTACACTCTAATTTACTGCACTTTAATTGAGTTTGCGCTTTAATCGCTAGTGTTTTGCACTAATTGTGTGTTTTATGCCTTGTAGGTGTGATTCCGAGCTATATAGATGTTATGGAATGAATTTAAGTGATTTGAAGCTTTGAAGTCTGAGTAAAAGCTCAAGGAATTTAGTCGGGATCGTGTTCGGGGGACATATTTTGGACACAAATTAGACCTAAGGAGGCGAGGAGACACTACTTTAGGGTTAGACAACACCCTTGGAGGCAAGAACACATTGGGAGCAAGGCGGAGAATTCTTCTACGAGTTTTTTCCTTCCTCTTCCTATCTTTCATTGTTGGTTATGACTTTTAGTATTGTAGTTTTACATACTAAGACTAAATTGGTCCTAGTTACTCTTCGGGGCGGAGTGGAAGAAGGGGGGGATTCTCGAACGCGGAAAGGATCCAATGAATTCGAAAGATTATGAATAGCTAATTTGTTATCTAGAGTTTTGATAGAACCTTTTGTAGGATAAATTCTTGTTATGTTTATATATAATTGAGCCATAGTTTTTCTCTATTTGTTCAACTACGTTTATATTCTGGTTGATTGAAGAGCTCTCAATTAGCTGTGCCTATTTAGTATGCATAACTCGGGAGAGAGTGCATATTTAGGTAGTTGTTAAACAACACCACTCCCAAAGTATATGAGGGATCAATAACCGAGGGTTTAAAGGCGGGATTAGGGATAACGAAGCCTTGGGTGCGATCTGAAGTGAGCTGTATTAAAAGCCAGCTAGCGTAGCTCGGGAGAGCGCGTCTAGTAAATTGTCGTAATTACTCGAGAGAGATTTACGGTAATAAGAGTGCTCATGATCGGTAGAGAATACTTAGGCGAAATTATAGAAGACATAGCGGGAAGGATTCCGACAATAGGGGAAATCATAACTCTAGACCTCCTTAATCTTTTCTCTAACCCTCAGTATCTTTAGTTGTTAATTTACTATTTTAATTTGTTAGTTAATTAGTTAAACATAAGAATCTTAATATCTATAAGTTAGGAATTCTTCAAGCTTGTCTTCTTGGTGATAGTGAACAGCTGTAGCTAAACCTTAGTTCTCTGTGGGATTCGACTCCGGACTTGTAAACCGGATTATATTTGCAGCGACCGCATTGTCCTTTTTATAAGGCATAGTTGGGCGTGATCAGTGGTCCTATCGTATATTTTCAAGTACGGTGGCATCTTGAAGGTTTTAGGGATTGGGTGAGGAGCAGCTTCCTCATTATATGGTTGCTCGACGAATCTTCCCATATCGCGTTTCGGCAGTAGCTTAGGGGCACCAGGTATCTTGTCTACCCTCTCCTGGTGCTCCTTCATTTGATCACGAAGTGCTTTATTCTCGTTCTCCATCTCCTCCATTTTCTTAAGGATGGCTGTGAGCGCATTATTGCTTGCATTGGAATGGGTGTGGGCATTACCTGTTCGTGCAACGCTGGGCTTTCCGATGGCGGTGGCGATTTCTGCCATCGATGGATCTTTGATATTTCCCTGAGGTGGTTTCTCGAGCATGCTACTTAGAGTGTTCGTCAACCATTCCTCTAGTAGCTTTTTGACTACTGGGGGAGTTTCCTTTGCTGCAGATGTAGAAGTCCCTCTCTCATGAAAATCGTTAGATCTTCGAGTGAGGAGGGTGAGATCTCCCCCTCCGGTATGTTACTTGGTGTTACATTCGCGGTATTTTCTCTACCGGCTTCGTTGAGTGGGCCTATGAGGTTGGTTGAGACGTCTGCTATCATCTTCAACCTTGACTCTTTATCTGCCATTTGTTAGTTTCTATGAGGTCTGAAGAACAGCAATGGTTGTTTCTGATATCCTAGATGTGAACTATGATTTCGACTACCGAAATCCCCACAGACGGCGCCAAATTGTTTGACTCAAAAGTTGTTTAATATTTTCTAAGCAAATCAATCAATGTAGATGAAGGGGTAAATCGTAGTTGAAGATAATAAACTTTAGGATGATCTTGAATATAGAATCAGATGACAATAGTATAAATTAGATTAATGAGAGAAGGTGATACTTTTTGAAAGGTAAGAGACAGAAGAAAGAGAGAGAATGTACTTCCAGTAATGAACCCCCCTTTTACAAGGCTTGGATCCCTCTTTATATAATAGAGGATCCTTGCTCCAATATTAAAAAGCAGAAAATAAAGTGCATGCTATGGAGTGGCCGACGTGATCATGAAGTCGTCCCTCTTATTACTCATAGGTCGCCCTTCTAGCCGGACTTGCACACACTCGGTCGGTCGTGCTGGCTTGAAGAACGTGGTTGGTCAAATTCGGCCCCATACCTATATGAAGGGAACACAACAACGGAGACCCAACAAAAAAATTTATTGGAAAAAGGGAAAAGGGAGAGATTAGATATGAAATCACGGAAATTGATGTAGAAGATGAAGAGATCGTTTCTGTATCAAATGTATAGGCTTTCGTTAGTCCCTCTGTCTCTAATAGTAAAATTAGAACCCAGCAAGCTTAGAATTAAAATGGAGTTTGACCACAAGATTTAACACGCACCAACTATTGAATTGCGATATTAAGAAGTATGAAGAGAACCCAAAAAGATGCGGGCAGAAATTAAAAAGATGAACAAACCTGCAGCTAGAACGCACACCCCTGAGAGCAAGAACACACAATTCTGAGAGGGTCTATGGAGACTGGAGAAACAAAGTATAAAGAAAGAAACGAAAACAACTACTAATATGTTGGAATGATCTGCAATGTACATGTCGCCATACAAAGTGAACGATTAAAGAGACACGTAAATTATGTTATTACAAAGACTGAAATGCCCTTAATATTTTCTTAAAAGACTTTAAGCAGCCACGCAGAAATACTGACTCTTCTAATATATAGAATATAGCATGGGGAAGTTGAGAGAAGAGAAGCTCCACCAACTCGATTGTTTTTGTGCTCATTCATGAGTTCCACTAACAATCCATGTTCATCATGATGCAAATTAAATATTTAATAGTATGTCACAATTGTCGTTCATCAAATTTCATAAGTACCACCAATATATATATTCTTACCATTCATATTGTTAGTCTAAAGTTTTTTCACCTTTAAAAATATACTACTATCTATAGCTTTTATTGGAGTATTTGTATAAACTACAGTAATTCTTTATTGCTCTTTAAGTATCTCACTTAATTCGCACCTAAAAAAAATGATAAGACAAATTTGAAAAGGAAGGCAACAATTGACTTTTTAAGAGAAACATCAAGTGTCTTAAACAAGATTTTTTGTTGTTGCTAAAACTACTAATATGGAGGACTCGAATAGATCAATCAAAGAGTAGGGTGTTGCTGTCGCAATTATGATAACAATAGCTATTAAACATATCATATGGGTTGAAGTTTTCCAAGTTGGTTTCGGTAAGCTATCCGTCTTCATATCCACATATTATATTATTTCTGTCATTATGATCAGGGAGTGCTTAATCTATTGCTACAGCTTTAGTTCCAAATTCTGACACCGTGTAAAATATAAGACTTAATTTTGACACTTGAGGGGTTTCAAAGTTATTGGCAAACCTCAACCATGGGGTTGACTATCGTTTTCCTTTTCATATTCATACTCACAATTCTCAAAGTTGTCCCTTTGCACGGCCAAGAGCTGGTCTTTTCTCTCTCTCACTCAATAGAAGTGAAATCCTAAGCACGGGAATTAAAAATTATTATTACTGTAAAGCATATAAACAAAGTGCTCAATGAGATTAGATTCTACCTTGTCTCTCCTTTTTTATAATGACTAGAATATTTTTTTCTTATTACAATGTCATAATAAATTTGGAGTACTATATACACCATCGTTCAACCTTGTAATATTGTGTCTGGTCTGTTAATCTTTATGCAGTAAACTTTCTTGTTGAAATTTGTTTTACTATGTCAAATCAGCTCCCAAGGTTAGCCACATGTTTTCTTTTCCCCTTTTTTCTTTTCTTTGGCGTTCTGTAATGTTCAAAAGATTTACAACTTCAATAATTCCTACTTGTATTTATTTATAAAATATGTTCAAATGCATGCTGACGGATACTGTTAGTTTTTCCTCTTTCTTTTTACCATTGTTTCTACAAGAGATTTTGCTTCTAGAAAAGGTTAAAGGTGGAGTTATAGGAGAATTCATTCCAGTATAGGGAGTTTAGTTGGTGCAACTAATTATGGTAAATTCAATATCAATGTCCTCCTCTATATATAAAGGATAATACTTTTCTAAGCCACTGGAAAATTTTCCTTAAGACAAATGTACACGTGAAAAGAGAAAGAGGGCAAGTTGAGGTCAAGTCGAGTAAACTTGTAAGCTATAGATTAGTGTTGCAGTTAAGATGAAAGTTATCCTAATTCCTACATATAAGATGCTTAAGGATAAGATTTTCTTTATCTGCAAAAGGAAACTGAAGAAACAAGCTAAGTCACTATTTCTTTTCGTTTAGAATTTCTGAAGTTGATGTAAACCAAATTGTGCACGTATGACTATATATCCAAACGAAAGGTTTTGCGTTTGGAAAAATGCAATCTGCAATCTACGAAAAAGAAGATATCAAAATGCAAACTACTCCTCTAATCAAAACGTACAACTCTATTAATTAAGTGTTTTACTTTACCAGTGAAATATGACTTACTACTATACATATATAGAATATTGTTGGGTTTAAGTTTGTTATAGCTTAAAATAGAGTGAATGGAAAATGGAGGAGAAAATAAAAATTTTGAATTTCCCTCTTTGACAAAGGCATATTGTCCCATATTGGAGGAGGAAAAGAGTTTTGATGGGTATATATACAATTGCACGTCTTCTAGCTCTTTAAGAGTCGAGAAGAAGCCAAGTCGCACACCGTCATCATTGTTGCTCATTCAACGATCTGATTGATTGATTAATTTTTTTGACCAATTTTTTTTGTTAATATTACGATTAACATAATATTATTTTAATCCAAATTACCGTTTTTGTAATGGTAAATTATTTTTCCTCCGTTTTGAATGTCCCATTAGAATTTAAATTTGGAGGTTTGTGTAAACCATTTTGAGTTGCAGCCTTTATACGAAGAGTTGCAACTCTTTGGTATTACCCAACTTTTTGGCTATAAATACATGATCTTTCCCACAGATTTTTCTTACGAAAATTCTAATTCTCGTTCTTCCTTCTGCATTATTTTTTAACAGAAAGAAAGCAATAAATGTGATTTGCTACCGATCTTTGAGTTCATAGGCCATTGGGCTTTGAAGTACCGCTACACCAGTGAGGGTAATCACTATAAAAAAACAGTCAAATTGCGGCAGTTCTTTTTACAAATTGCAGCGGTCGGTAACTCCCGCAATTTGTTGATGCAGCGGTTCAAAACTCCTGCAAGAAGGCTCGCCGCAATCAATTTACAGTAGTTTTTCCGCGACCGCCGTAATTAATTAGCGGGAGTTAATTTGTGACAGTTCAACCCCCGTAAACTGATTATTAAAAAATTATATTTTTTACAAGTTCCGGCAGTCAGAACCTATGCAACATAGTAAATAATTATTTAGCAATACAAAAATTACGGCAGTCAAAACACACGCAATTCACTGAACGTATTAATTCCTTTTACTGCAATTTTTACAAATATTGAACTTTGAATATTATAACACTTAGAAATATCAACATATATAGCATCACAAAAGTATTACTTTCATATATAAAACCACAAAAATGCTCCCATGGCAAATTTCCTAATTCCTAAACAACTCAAAGCACATTTAGCAATGTTTCTAGCTGCATACAGTAGCATCGGAAGAGCTGTCTCCGATATAGCAATCTGCCTCTATATTTAGTTGCTTGAAACGAACTTCTACTGTAGTTTTCAAACTATATTTTAACATAAAACATTCACCCTAGCCATTCTAACATCCGCTCCAATCACGTAATTACATTGTCATAATTAATTATCTAATTCAGTTATAAAAAAACTTCAGTTGTTGTCACTTGGATTACTGCCATCAGATGATCTTCTTGCGCCCATGGGTGATAGGGATCCACTAGCTGCATCTCTAGGCTGCAAACAAAATAAAACAAGAAGATCTTCTGAATGCTAATTATAACTTGAGCTATTTCTTCAATAAAAATCTGAACCATTTCCATCCTTTATTCTGTAGTCAAAATTTTAAAACACATGAAACTAGAAATTCAGCAGTACACATACATAACTATAATCCCAGAAACAAGAAAGTGTCAACAGGAATAAAGTACGATCGATCCACTAAAGAAGAGCATCCACTAAAGAAGAGCGGAGAAAGAAGATCTTAAGTTTTTTTTATATGAGTAGCTCTTGATGCAGATAATATCAGTTGAAAAAAAAATATCAAGTTTATTTACCGTTGTAGGAGGAGAAGCAAAGAACTCCACAAATTGCTCCGGTATTGTCCCTTCTTTCATTATCATATATGCCCTGAAAGCATTCATCATTTGTTTGTAGTTCTCTTGTCTTTGGTTGTGAGCATTCAACAATTTATTGTAGTTCTCTTGGCGATGGTTCAAACATGAAGCATCACTACTTGAAGCATTCATACCACCAAAACGAGGTCTTGCATGTTTAAAAACTTTGCTAGGACAGCTCCTAATCCTAAGCACTTTACGCTTCCAGAGTGCTCTTTTCCTAGCACTTTACCAACAACATCATTTGGCGATACTTCAGACTCATCCACCGTGCTTTGGCTCAAAGCAAGCTCAATTTTTTCCTAAATAGTGTTTGTCACAACATTAATAAGTAACTAAATGCACACCAAGACAAGCAAAAAAGAGATAGTTGCTGAAATGCATCAAGCCAGACACTTTTAAAAGTATAAAATACACCTAAAAGTTCCACCTTTCCCTCCTCATCAACTGAGGTCAATTGCCAGTGGTTACATTTTACTTTTCACGTCAACAAGTAGACATTCTTTTATACTGAAAGTTTAGCAGCAATATACTGGTCATTTTGAGTTTCTTGTTTGTCTAAATTGCAGATAAATCTGATCATTAATCTTGGAAAGCCTTTTATGAGATAGATTTAGATTTCGACTACATATTAAAAATGTACGGAAGAAGAAGCCCTATAAGGAGAGAATCCAGATTTCAGCTTAGCATTTGAGATCGAAGGTGGAAAAATCTTCTTCTCCTATTCTACACTTCTATCTAACAAACATAGATCGCAAAATAGGATACTGTTATTTCCAAGAAAAAGTAGATAATGTTTCAAACAAGAAAGAAAGAAACAAAGTGTAGACTTATTTGACATTACAACCCATTGGTAAATATCAAAAAAGATACATAACTAGTCTGGAACAAGCTGAAACTAATAGTGAATTAGACAGATACATATATTAGATTTCATACCCAAAAAGAAAAATAACCTTCAACAATCACAAAGATAAAGAAGAAACTTACATATATCTCCTTTGCCGCCTCATTCACATATGCTCCATCTTGTTTCTTATGAGTATCAAGATAAAGTTGTGCGCGTCCAGGCCTTCGTCCAGTCTCAGCCATCTATAAATAAAATAACCAACAGAATAACTTAACTGGAATAGTTACATAAGTTAGTTTAATAATTAAAGTAAAATGACATAAATTAACATCTTTCACCATTTCAGCCCTTCTTCTGGAGTTAGGTTTGGAGCCACCTGTATGTGTAAATATTTGTTTCTTTCGAATTTCAGTATTCCTTCTGCACATTTCCTTACAAAAAAAAATACTTGAAAATCAATCACACAAATAACTAAATATAATCAAACATACAAGTTGAAGTAATTAAATAAATACCAAAGTTGTTTCTTTAAAACGGTAATCAACAAATGAAGTCCACTGATCCCGTGGAATCTCAGCCGGAATATTTTCCATAATCTGAGCTTTACTTTTGAGTGGATCATAGAATGCTCTGTGACGGAATATTTTCCATAATCTGAGCTTTACTTTTGAGTGGATCATAGAATGCTCTCCACAAGTTTAGCCCATTCGCGCTCCACTTTTTCCAAATAGAATTATAAACATAACGCCGTGCAACTGACTCGACTGTCTTAAAACAAAACCGTTTCTTCAAGAATAAAACATTGGTTAGCTTATCTGCTACATGCAAATATGTAGCCAACAATAAAATAGACATGTAGCACAAAGAATTAGAGCTTATACCTTTACCATTCGATCAAATACATGGTCAAAGTATGATATAGGTAAATCTGACTATTTCTCAAAGTGAATTGGAAATAAGGCGCAGTCAGTTGCTAAAATTCCACAAAAGCCAGCAAGGCGGCCTTGTGCTTCTCCAAATGGTTATTCTATAAATTGATTCAAACCAAGTAAATATTCTGGTGTGTTCCTCGATATTTTAATCCAAGACTTATCCATTGAAAAAATAGATTAGTGTGCAACAATATCACCTACAAGATTTTCAAAGCTATAAGATTAGAGACCTATTTAACACTTTATAAGACAACAAAAAGTAAAGGTAATGTCCTACTAATTATCTAGCATGATAAGACCAACTGAGAATGCTACAACAAGCTACTTAATTTCTCAATTGACTACATTACTGCAAGCCTTTTGCATTAAAGTAAAGTTATGCAGCCATAAAAGATAACCATATTTACCAACTTATTACTCTCCTTATAACATCTGGTTGAGAAGCAGGGCAACATGATAGCACATAAGTTTAAGTACATATGCAGAGGACAACTTCAATGGCATTAAAACACATTGCACATGCAGATCCCCACCATTATTATGATAAGATGAAACACTTAGTATGTTTATGAAAGATCAGGTGATCAGCAGCAGCACTAAGATAAAATTATAAAATCTACTTCATTGTACTGTCAAGTCTTACTATTAAAAAATCTACTTCATTGTAGAGTCCTCTAAAGGAAATTAAAATGCCAATCTACTACCATTTTCTAGGATACATTACACCATTCATTACTTGTCTATAGCAAATAACTGGAATAAAAATCAAAAACTCATGTACTGCATTGAATAAGCAAATGAAGTTTGTGAGAAAGCACGGGAGAAATTATATTATTGATGTATTAACATATGTTACAATGAGCCTTATATATATACACACATAACATGTCCTACTCCTAATATATATTGGATTAGGGTTATTTATTTACTCCTATTTACATGACTATTCTAACACTCCCCCTCAAGCTGGTGCATATAAATCATATGTACCGAGCTTGTTACATATGTAGTTAATACGAGGACCAGTGAGGGACTTGGTGAAAATATCTGCAAGCTGATCATTCGACTTCACAAACTTTGTAGCAATATCTCCCGAGAGTATCTTTTTTCTAACAAAGTGACAGTTAATCTCAATGTGTTTAGTTCTCTCATGGAACACTGGATTTGACGCAATATGAAGAGCAGCTTGATTATCACACACAAGTCCCATCTGACTAATCTCACCAAATTTCAACTCCTTGAGCAATTGTTTGATCCAAATTAGCTCACATGTCGCCATAGCCATCGCTCGATATTCTGCTTCTGCACTAGACCGAGCAACCACATTCTGTTTCTTGCTCTTCCAGGACACCAAATTTCCTCCTACTAAGACACAATATCCAGACGTAGAACGTCTATCAGAAGGTGATCCTGCCCAATCAGCATCCGAGTATCCAACGATCTGCTCATGGCCTCGATCCTCAAACAATAAACCTTTGCCTGGAGCTGATTTTATATACCGAAGAATGCGAACAACTGCATCCCAATGACTATCACACGGAGAATCCATAAACTGACTCACAACACACACAGAAAAGGAAATGTCAGGTCTTGTCACTGTAAGGTAATTTAATTTACCAACCAACCGTCTATATCTTGCAGGATCGCTAAGAGGCTCCCCCTGTCCTGGCATAAGTTTAGAGTTCGGATCCATCGGAGTGTCAACCGGTCTACAACCTGTCATTCCTGTCTCTTCAAGAATATCTAAGGCATACTTTCGTTGTGAGATCACAACACCTGAGCTAGACTGAGCGACCTCAATACCCAGAAAATACTTTAGTTTGCCCAGATCCTTAGTCTGAAAGTGTTGCAAGAGATGTTGCTTCAATTTAGTAATACCATCCTGGTCATTGCCGGTAATAACAATGTCGTCAACATAGACCACCAGATAAATACAGAGACTCGAGGCAGAATGCCGATAGAATACAGAGTGATCAGCTTCACTCTGAATCATGCCAAATTCCTGGATAACTGTGCTGAACTTACCAAACCAGGCTCGAGGAGACTGCTTTAGACCATAAAGTGACCGACGCAAGCGACATACAAGGCCACGAGACTCCCCCTGAGCAACAAACCCAGGTGGTTGCTCCATATAAACTTCATCCTCAAGGTCACCGTGTAAAAAACATTCTTAATGTCCAGCTGATAGAGGGGCCAATGGCGAACAGCAGCCATGGATAGAAAAAGGCGGACTGATGCTATCTTAGCCACAGGAGAGAAGGTATCACTGTAATCGAGCCCAAATATCTGAGTATATCCTTTGGCAACAAGACGAGCCTTAAGACGATCAACCTTACCATCCGGACCAACCTTGACTGCATACACCCAACGACAACCAACAGTAGATTTACCTGAAGGAAGAGGGACGGGCTCCCAAGTACCACTCGTATGTAAAGCAGACATCTCGTCAATCATAGCCTGTCGCCATCCTGGATGAGACAATGCTTCACCTGTAGACTTAGGGATGGAAACAGAGGACAAAGAAGATAGAAAAGCATAATAGGGTGATGACAAACGATGATAACTCAAACCGACATAATGGGGATTAGGATTAAGGGTGGCCCGTATACCTTTCCGAAGTGCAATCGGTTGATTAAGAGGAGACAAGTCCGCAGTATTAGCAGGGTCAGGTGCAGGACATGAATCAGCTGGACCTGATGCTGGGCGCGGACGACGATGATATGTCAAAAGTGGTGTTCCTGTGGCAGGGAGTCTAGGAGGAGCCACACTAGACTCCTCAACGGTTGGAATGGATAAGACTTCTATAGCGGAAGGTGAAGGAGGAGCTATAGGAGACTCGGGTAAGACTTCTGTGGCGGAAGGTGAAGGAGGAGCTATAGTAGACTCCTTAAAGGTCGGTATAGGTAAGACCTCAGATATATCAAGGGGGTCAGAAAGGTCAGAAGAGGTAAAGAAAGGTTTAGACTCAAAAAATGTGACGTCAGAGGATATAAAGTACCTACGAAGATCAAGTGAGTAACAACGATATCCTTTCTGAACACGAGAATAACCAAGGAAGACACACTTGAGAGCACGAGGAGCTAACTTATCTTTCCCAGGGGCTAGGTTATGAACGAAACAAGTGCTCCCAAAAACACGAGGGGGAACAGAGTATACGGGTGATTGGGGACACAATACTGCATACGGTATCTGATTCTGGATGGGAGAGGAAGGCATCCGATTAACTAAATAACAAGCTGTGAGAACTGCATCGCCCCAAAAACGCAGCGGAACATGAGATTCAATGAGAAGTGTGCGAGCAGTCTCAATGATGTGCCTATTCTTTCTCTCTGCAACCCCATTTTGCTGAGGGGTATAAGGACAAGAGGTCTGATGAATAATTCCTTGAGAAGTCATAAACTGCTGAAATTGAGAGGATAAATATTCTAAGGCATTATCACTGCGAAAAGTGCGAATGGAAACACCAAATTGATTTTTAATTTCAGCACAAAAATTCTGGAATATAGAAAACAACTCAGAACGACCTTTCATTAAGAAAATCCAAGTACATCTTGAATGATCATCAATAAAACTAACAAAATAACGAAATCCCGAGGTTGAACTGACTCTACTAGGACCCCATATATCAGAGTGAACTAAAAAAAAAATAGACTCTGCGTGACTCTCAATACTACGAGGATAGGAGGCTCGGGTATGTTTCCCGAGCTGACATGACTCACACTCTAATGTGGATAAACTAGACAAACCAGGCACCATCTTCTGAAGCTTGGATAAGCTTGGATATCCTAAACGTTTGTGAATTAGGTCCGGAGGATCTGTAACTAGACATGCCTTGGAGGATTTTAGGGAGTTAAGGTAGTAAAGCCCTTCTGATTCAAGTCCTGTTCCAATCGTCTGCCCTGTACTGCGGTCCTGCATAATAAAAGAATCATCAATAAAATATATACCACAATGGAGGGCACGAGTCAAACGACTAACAGATTCAAGATTAAAAGGACAGCCAGGGACATAGAGAACGGAATCTAGAGTGACAGAGGGTAGGGGATTCGCTTGTCCAACTCCTTTTGCTTTGGTTTGAGACCCATTGGCTAAAGTAACAGCGGGAAGAGACTGTGAATACGCAATATTTGACAAAAGTGATTTATTACCAGAGATATGATCAGAAGCGGCTGAGTCCACAACCCATTGTCCAGGAGGACTAGACTGGGAAACACAAGCAAAAGAATTACCAGAAACAGAAGTATTAGTCTGAGCAACAGAAGCTACTTGTGGAGATGTCTGCTTACTTGCTCGATACTGAAGGAACTCATTATACTCCCCTTCAGATAAAGAAAATCCCTGGTTACCTGTAGTCTCAGTCTGAGCAACATAAGCAGTTTTGGTTGGGCGGCCATGTAAAGAATAGCATACATCACGAGTGTGTCCAAATTTATGACAATAAGAGCACTTGGGTCTAGATCTTCCAAAACGACCTCCTCCTCGTCTATTCTCCATAGTATGAGATGCCCGATTGTCCACTGATTGGGATACAAGGACAGATGAGTCAAGTGTCTGTGATGAGCTCACTGGGTGACTAGGTGCTGCAGCAAGGCGAAGTAATCGAGAGAATAATTCATCAACTGTGGGGACGGTTGGACTAGCCAAAATCTGGTCACGTACTGAATCAAGGTCATTAGGGAGTCCAGCGAGTGTAAGAACTAGAAACATCTTCTGTCGTTGCTCTTGTTGTTTTTCAATACTGGCAGAAACTGGCATCAACGTCTCAAATTCTTCCATGACTACCTGAACTTGTCCCAAGTAAGTAGACATATCTAATTCCTGTTTCTTCAAGCTTGTCATTCGCGATATTACATCATAGAAACGAGATATGTCATTAGTGTATAGATTACGAGCCTTTTCCCAAACTAAATAACATGTCTGGAATGGACGGAACAAGGGCATCAACTTGGAATCAATAGATCGCCACAGGATACTACATAACTGAGCATCGACCTTCTCCCACTGTGTTTTGGCCTTTTCATCACCTTCGCTAGCCTTTTTTGTTAAATGATCTTGAACTCCTTGACCTTTACACCACAACTCGACAGATGAAGCCCAATCTAAGTAGTTTGAACCTCCCATTAAAGGTTCTGAGGTAATCATAACACCGGAACTGCCAGAACCCGGGTTTCTAGACCCGAAAGCATCGACTCCCAAAGACATGGTTGGATTATCACCAAATAACAAAAAGAATCAACTGAAAATTCTCTGAAACAGATGAAGAAATCACTGTGTTTGCCGGAAAAGTACTGTAGCTGCCGGAAAAATCAGTGTAGTAGCCGGAAAAACTCAAAGTGGTCGGAATCAAACGAAAACAGGATGGGTAGGGTCGGAATTGCTGTGCGACCAGGCTGTCCTGAAGAAGCTCGGCCAAAAAATGGCCGGAAGAGGCCTCACGCGCCGGCGCGTGACGACGGAGACTCGCCGGAAAATATTTTCCGGCGGCGCGTGAGGGCGCGTGGGAGAGGTTCTGCCGGAGAAATTTTTGTGGTTTGGTCGCCGGAAGCTGATCTATCTCGTGGTGGTGTTGGTTTTTGCACAACACCGACGGATATTGATTTTTTTCTTGCGGACAGTGCTGTTTTGCCGGAAAAAAAAAGGTTTTTTTTTTTCTTCCCGGAGTCGCTGGAATTTACGCACAGCGATAAATATCTCACGATAGCTCTGATACCATGTGAAAAAGCACAGGAGAAATTATATTATTGATGTATTAACATATGTTACAATGAGCCCTATATATATACACACATAACATGTCCTACTCCTAATATATATTGGATTAGGGTTATTTATTTACTCCTATTTACATGACTATTTTAACAAAGTTGACTTTAACACCAAATAGTTTTCAGAAAAGTTAAGATAAACTTTTCACGGAGTTCTTGGAAACATGGATAGATGTCATCAACGAGTAATCAAACCAATGTCTTGCTGTTATTTTTGTCAGTTAAAATTTGCACAACAATAACGGCCCACGCTTTAATAGATGAGATATCTCATCCAAAGATGGACTACATCATCCTTGGTCATTACTTATACTTACAAGGACTGGTCAGTAATTAGATTAGATTGTTATGATATTATCCAGATGAGAATTGAAAATTGGATAGTAATTAAATCAATTCATCATGTTTCCCCCTTATTTTCCAAATGGATAGTACTGGTAAATGTTATTTTTCTTGTAGTACGCCTCAATGTTAACAGCACCTAACAGAACAAGTCTCTCAATTTATCTGTTACGTGTTTATTAACCAAAAAGCTGTCAAAAATATATTAAAGAAAAGTTTATTTATTCTGCTTACTGTGCCAAGAATTAACAGGAGAAGTCTAGCTCCAACAAGATGTGGTCGAACAATGCAAACAATGGAGAAAGGCAGGGAGAGTGACAAAAGAAAAAAAGAGATGAGGATTGAAAAATCTGCATAACAGCAATGACCCATGCTTTAATAGATCAGATATCTCATCCAAAGAGATATATGCATTGACAAAATGTAGTTAAAAACTATACATAAACATGCATGTAAGAATCAAGTAAAATGAATTGGAGCAAGCGTGAATATGAGCCATGTCCACATTGGATCCCAAAAATATTCATTTTTGATAAAGGAGCAGTTTGTTGAATTCCTAAAACTAAGAACCATACTCTGTAGATAAACCTGGAAAGGAAAGAAACGCATACAAACGTGTACTGTAATAAAATATCCTTATATACAATCAACAGAGTATGCAATATTCCACTGAAATATCAACTTTTGTATCATTAAAATTAAAATGTATTAACTATTAGGTTAAGCCTGGATGATAGTTTGAAAACTTTTAGAAGATTCAGTGTTTTTAAGGTAAATGTTGCCTTGGGTTTGAGGTCTCTTCTCAATGCAGAGAGGTGAATCAAACTAAATTGAAGGCCTACTACTTTGATTTTTATCATATCAGTAAAAGAACCCTATCATAACCACAAAATGGGAAAATAGACAAATCGCCAAGCCCAAGTTATAACCCTTAACTCCAATTCATATATATAATAACCAATAGAATCACATAATTCCCCAACTGAAAGAGCATCATCACAAAACCAAAATTATACATACATGTGCCTAGGTATCTGCCATAAACATGCATGTAAGAATCAAGTAAAATGAAGGTTAAAAATTAGGCATACCAATGCAGTAATTAAAGAAATAATGGAGAAAAAGCTTACCAAAATTGAAAAACACAGCGACAAATCAATTTTTTTAGTTATTTTTTTTTACATTACAGAACATGAAAGAAGAAACACAAAACAAAAATACATTAGGATATTGAGGCAATAAAGCAGATTGCATGCCAGAAAATTATAGGTTTATAGAGAACTCAAGTTAACAAATTGCATATAATCAACATAGAAACCCCAAATCAACCAAAAAACTCCAAATAAATAGAGAAACCTCAAATCCAACAGAGAATACCCAAAATAACACAAAAATAAAGTGAAGACCCACATGTAATTTACAAAATACAAAAATACCTGGTTACGCAAAATCAGAATTGGAGAAGATGAAAGACAAATTGCAAATAAACACAGTGGATTTTCTAGCAACGTCACTCAAATTTGGTGAGAGAGAGGCCGCCGCTTGGAGACTAGAGACAGAGAGAGTGAGAGAGACGGCAAAAAAATTAGAAGGTCTAAAGGTTTTGGGTTATAAGTCTAAAAGGTTTTGGCGGAGAAAAAAATGAGGAAAACAAAAATATAGCGGGAAAAATTAGAAGCTTGGGGCTCTTTTGCTTTTAATGTACCAGATCCATCAAATTATAATTAATTGCGTCGGTAAGAGAAAGTCCCACAATTTGATACGATTTGCGAGAGTTACCGGTAACTGCCGCTAATTAACTGCCGCAATTTGACTGTTTTTTTTGTCACGATCAGGATTTTCCACCCTCGGGAGTTGTGATGGTGCCTACTAATGTGAGCTAGGCAAGCCAATCATTTGAACAATTTAACTTTTTACCTATTTTATATTCTTTAACAGTTACGAAGATATAACATTTAAACAGCGGAAATTTAACATAAGCGGAAGAAGAACAACAACTGTCTGAACATAAATACCTAGTACAACTGTTTGAGTCTCGACTATCCAGAACTGGTGTCACAGTTTCACAGACGGTCTAAGAATACTACAAATAAAGGGTCTGAAGAAATAAATACAACACTGTCTCTAGAAATGCATGAAAGAAACAGGAATAGTAGGTAGAAGGAGACGCCAAGGCCTGCGGACGCCTGCAGGACTACCTCAGGTCGCCTGATGATCAAGAGTCAGCAATCTCACTGCGGTCCGAAGTCCACAACGCTGGGATCTGCACAAAAGAGTGCAGAGTGTAGTATCAGCACAACCGACCCCATGTGTTGGTAAGTGCCTAGCATAACCTCGGCGAAGTAGTGACGAGGCTAGGACCAGACTATCAAATAAACCTGTGCAGTTATATAATATACAGCGGAAAGTAAAGCAGGTATAAGCAAGTAAGGATGGGAGGAGGAAACATGCTTCGGGGAATATAATAACATGTAAAAACAGAATATCAAGAGAACTATAAAGGAGTCAAAATCCAACCACTAGCAAGAATAAGGAAAACAAAGGCATATTTCACTTTCTTTTCACATCTTGTTGCAGGCGTGCAACCCGATCCCATTTCATGTATCTCGTGGCAGGCGTGCCACCCGCTCCCATTTTATTATACCTCGTGGTAGGCATACCACCCGCTCCCATTTCATTATATCCCTTGGTAGGCGTACAACCCGCTCCCATTTCATTATATCTCGTGGTAGGCATACAACCCGCTCCCATATAATATTGTTGCGGCATGCAACCCGATCCATATATAATATTATTGCGGCGTGCAACCTGATCCATATATAATATTGTTGCGGCGTGCAACCCGATCCATATATAATATTGTTGCAGCGTGCAACCCAATTACATAATATTATTGCGGCGTGCAACCCGATCCATATATAATATTATTGCGGCGTGCAACCCGATCCATATATAATATTTACAATTATAACGAGAGTCCCGACAAGGGATCAAAAGGTCTACCCTATCCCGGCAAGGGAAAAACAGCTATAACCAAACTTGTTACAACACCTAACTACCTCAGCTATATCCAAACTTGTTACAATACCTAACTACCTCAGTTATACCCAAACTGGTTACAACACCTAACTACCTCAACTATACCCAAACTGGTTACAACACCTAACTACCTCAGCTATACCCATAATCCTTACCTAACACAAAGAATCATCAACCTAAGTATCCATAATATCAATTAAGAACACAATACAAGGGAACCACAACTCAACAATAGCCCGGCAAGGGGCAACATAATGATCTCTTCTCTTTCTCACTTTTACTTCACATTTCACTTCACAACTCGAGCCAATGCTCTAGAGTTTCAATTATCACTTATACTTTCACAATTCGTTATACAACTGGAGCCAACACTCCTCAATGTTCATAGGTCACGATTCTTTCCACAACTTTTCACAACAAATATAAATCTTCACCAAGGCATGAATAATACAACGAAGTCATGAAAATCACAATATAAGACTCACGGTCATGCTTGACACCAACGTATAGATACTCGTCACCATGCCTATACGTCGTACTCAACAAGAAGCAAATAGCAAATAGGACACAACTCCTAATCCCTCAAACTAAGGTTAGACCAAACACTTACCTCGATGCTTCGAACACAACTCAAGCCTCAATTATAGCTTTACCCCTTGATTCCACCGCCAATTCGCTCGTATCTAATCACAAATTACTTAATTACATCAATAAGTGCTAAATGAATCAACTCCAATGCATGAAAATGAGTTTTCCAAAGTTTTACCCAAAAAGTCAAAAATCGCCCCCGGGCCACGTGGTCAAAACCCGAGGTTCGAACCAAAATCCGATTACCCATTCCCCCATGAACTCAAATATATAATTTGTCTTGAAATCGGACCTCAAATTGAGGTCCAAATCCCCAATTTTTGAAAAACCTAGGTTCTACCCAAAACACCCAATTTCCCCCATGAAAAACTTTGATTTTAGGTTGAAATCATGTTAAAAGATGTTAATGGTTGAAAGAAATGAGTAAAAACTAACTTACAATTGATTTGGAAGAAGACTTGTTCTTGGAAAATCGCCCAAAGGAGTTGTGTTTTGAAAAAGATGTGAAAAATGACTTAAAATCGGCTAAGTATAGAAAAATGCAGGTCTCAGTTATGGGAAATGCGAACAGAGGTTCGCAATTGCGAACCCCGACCTCTGCAAATATGGGAATTGCGAAGCTTGTTTCGCATTTGCGAACGCTTCAAATTTTAGGGACCTTCGCATTTGCGACAACAGTATCGCATTTGCGACACAGTGATCGCATTTGCGAGGTCTGACCAATATTGGAGGTTTCGCATTTGCGAACATAAATCTCGCATTTGCGAGGAAAATGGCAGACCTGGGTTGTTCGCATTTGCGAGGCAGCCTTAGCAATTGCGGGCTCGCATTTGCGAGCCAGGCTTCGCAATTTGCGAAGCCTGCAGGTCTGTTCATACAGATTTTCATATTTAAGCTTTCCGGCTACCCGCCCGAACTGCGCACGCAAATCGAGGTGACTCTAAACGAGGTTTTCAAGGCCTCGGAAATACAGATTTTAATTTAAAGCAAGTGATGACCTTTTGGGTCATCACATTTTTGTAGTGAATCTGTCCTATCATGGGAGGAAATAATCCTAAACTTCGGGTGCTAGGAAGGGATTAAGTTCCTTAAGCAAACACTGAGAATTCAGTGGGCTCGAATTCACTACAAAAAAATTGGAATTAGCTACGAATGTCGTCGCTAATCTGTCGCTAAATCGCCCGTAGCTAGCAGAATTTCTTGATAATCTATCGCTAATTCGTCGCTAAATGAGAATAGCGACGGATTTTTCCGTTTAACTACAGAATTTTTCCGTCGCTAAAACGAGTTTTTTTAGTAGTGATTTATTTCTGTTCTTTTACCTTTCTGGTTTTATTTTGTTTTTATATTTGAATATATTTTCGAATATAGATTACTAACAAATATTACTTGTATTTTTTATGCTGCTAATTCCACTTGTTATAGATAGTTATATGTAATTGCCTACTATTAAAAAATTTGATCACGAAAAAAGGGTTTACACTTAGTTTGAAAGTTAAATTCTTCAGCTAATTAACATCTAAATGATTACAGCTATCGACTTCCCAACCTCCTCATGAGTTACCGATATTAGTGCCATGCACGGCGGGATATCCTCAACAAAAATGAGTTTAAAATGTCATTTGTACTAATTTGATTTAAGATGACGGGCACTAACTATAACTATATATCAATCAATAATTAGTTAGGTTCCTAAGAATAATCAAAATCTAGATAGCGCGCATTCCTGTGAAGGGAATTGTACTATCCTGATTATCTTTATTTTATGAGTACTATACTTTATAGTTTTTAGTGTACAGAATGAAACTAACAGGTCATTAGTCATGATTCAAAAAAACCACTTCACCAACAGAACTTTTGAAAACGTACATTTATTATTTGTCTAATACTACTAGTACTTATCAGTTGTAGTTGTTCAATGGCCCTGCATGCCTCATTTTCTGGATAAATTCAGAATTCCAACAACATAATATTACCGCATGTTATATTTTCAGGATATAGTCAATTATATACATTGATAATGTACAATTCTTTTTACGTTTATATATACTTTAAACTTATTGTAGTAGGTAACCCGTATTTTTAAGAATATACCTAATTCCGTATTACAATTATAAAAGCACCCATTTCCTTTTATCATTAGCTTTTGCTTAATATTGAAGACAGCTATCCACTGCAGTGGCTAGACTGGCATGGTGGAGGTGTGGGCTATAGATCTATATATGAGTTTGGGGATTTGAGGTTTTGGGGTTTCACTCGCAGATCCAGCCCTGCTGCTTCCATAAGTCTCCTATCCTAAGTTTCTTTTTTTGCATGAATCAAGTTCTTCGACGGGACCATCCCGACCGAGGGCTAACCATAGATCTACCATGGTCTTTTTTTTTAATTCTTTTATCTTATTTTCGGTTAAAAGCCTTTTCTGGAAGCATTATGTTGGTTGTACAACGGTACAACCAAAGGAACTTCTTTCAGGAACTTATATCCTCTTCTATTTATGTGATGATAAATGGATGTGAAGACATCAATTGATTGGTAAATTGAACATTTGGGATGTCCCAATAAGAAGTGGAACAACAACTCCTTTAATTTTTTTTTTGGTGCAACAAAATGATTGTATTGAAGATTTAATTGAGTAAATAAGAATGTACCCGTTTACTCGAAAAATGGTGCAGTTGAATTTGTAACTGTATAGGTCAAAATCTGATCAAAGGAATTCTACATAAGGGAGAACGACCAGGGGTCAATCAAGCCAGTCACGTACAGGAAACAATATATCAGCGAATGATTCAGCTACGGTCGAGGTCGAGCACTCAGTTCGGCCCGAACGGCTAGTTCGACACTGAGACATTTCAGAGGTATACAATAGAGCCCTCGGGGATCCAAACCAAATATACACACAACCTCAAAAATATCCTACGGACTTATTCGTGCGATCAAATCGCCAAAATAACATCATAAACATCGAATTAAACCTCAAAATCCATGAATTCTTTCAAACTTCATAAAACATCAAATTTTCCAATTTAGGTCCGAATCACGTCAAACGACATCCGTTTTTCACCAAATTTCACATAAACGTCTTAAATCATATATAAGACCTGTACCGGGTGCCGAAACCAAAATACGGGCCCGATAACTCACAGGCTCTTCGCCAAAAGGGGGATAAATCTCAGGATCTTGGCATTTATCTGTAGTTCAACTGTATCAAATGTACAGAGATCTATCTAGTTCAAGAAAGATGATTCTTTTCCTTTATGTATTCGTCGTTATCATTTGATGTTCTTGAAGCTTTCTTCCTTTTCTTACATTATGGAATCCAATCTCGACTATCAAATTTTACGTTTAGCTATGTTTGTCTATTCTTGTCTCTATCTCAGATCTAGAATAAATTATCTCTGGCTAGGATTTACCCCATATCTTCTTATTTAATTAGTTTAATAAAAAGGCTTGAAAATTTTCGGTCAAACATTGCCGGTGAGGCTAAATAGCCTTCCATATTTTTGTTGTTGTTTATTGTGTTGCATTTTTAATTGATGAGAAGTTTCTCTTTGTAATACTTCTTGGCTTTTTTGCAGCTTGAAGATGTGAGATTATTTTCATCAAGGGGATTTTTTTAAAGAGCAACTAGAATACATGCATATTGACATGAAAACGAGGAAAAAGAACAAATGCAAGCCATTACCAGTTCAACTTGGCTAGATATAAATCTAAACACATGAGAGAAGACACAGACAACATCAAAGAGTTGATCAAGAAATAAACAGATGTAACTGCTAAAGGAAAAAAAGTAGGCATTTTAGACCTACCTGGTGAACAGCTTCCTCTCGGTGAATGGGTGCCAGTATCGCATTGCAACATAGACATTTGCAGGAACTTCCTTTGTTTTTAGTGCCATTTTTAGCGCGCTAGCCTATAATTGTGAGCTTAAAAGGGTTATAACATGTTGAAAATAACACCAGCATAGATGGAAAAGAGAGCTTTTTATCATATAATACCAAAAGTAAAACGGAGGGTTTTCTTTACCTGCTCATCTGTTATCTTTCGTAAAGGGGAACCGCCTCCAATTGCAGCGTACCCATCCTTACTCTTCGGGGCTCGGAGAACAGAAATGAGTTGAGCTAATGGGCGCTGGAGAATTCGGAATAATCTAGGGAGACGTATAATATCCTGCCCACCAAAAAAAAAAAAACACAATGATACCATTAGGCATAACCACAAACAAATCTAACTTAGCTGTTCAACATCTTCTATTATATTAGTTAGTGTTTTGATGGGAGTATTTGAGAAGAGGTTGCTTTGTCCCTCATTGAAAAAAGAAAGAATGGAATAAGTGTTTAAAAGCACTTCTTTGTGTTACATGATTTGAATAATTTAAAGATGTTTTGGAGGGAATTAGAATTTGGCTATATTATTAATAGTCAAGATTAGGCACTTGGGCACTTGGGTCTTTGGGCCAATTAAATAGCCCAAAATTTATTTCTTTTAGTCATCTATTAATTTTATTAATTAATAAAAAAATATTTTAAATATTAAAACGTTTTAATTTTAAAAAGAGGTGACTTTTGTTTTAAAAGGTGCCTATTGGCAAAGGTTGAGGTCCTAACAGACACCTAAAGGGTTTGAAAAGAGGTGACTTTTGGTATTAAAAGGTGCCTATTGGCAAATGTTGAGTCTGTTAGTCCTAACAGACACCTAAAGAGTTTATAAATACCCTTTTCTTCTCCAAAACAAAAATCATCAGAAAAGCAACAAAGTATCTTCTTCTTTTCTGCTATGTTCAATTCACCAAATTTGTCCAAGCGGAAATTCGAGTTAATTGCTGGTGCTCGAATTTCAGAGGCTTTGTAAAATCCTGGAGGAATTCTGCCATAATCCCTGCAGCAAGGAAATTGGGAGGCTTAAATTCCTTAAGGATAGTGACTACACTATCAAAGCCTAATTATTTCGTCCCTATATTCTGTTATATTTTCTAACAATCTTAAGGAATTTAACAGCACAACAATGGAGGCTTCTGGTAGTGATTCTGGTTTCAACAAGATGTTCGAAATGTTCAAACTGGATCGATTTGATGGCTCAAATTTCACCCGCTGAAAAGATAAATTGTTGTTCTTTCTCACGGAGTTGGGAATAGCATATCTGCTGAGTTCTGATCTTACTGCAATGCCAGAACCTACTGCTGAAGACTCTGCCGAAATTAAGGCGGCACGCAAAAAACGTGAAGCTGATGAGGTGCGCTGTAGAGGTTTTATTTTAAACTCACTTTCTGATCGTTTATATGATTTGTTCCGTCCTCACAAATCACCACAAGAAATCTGGAAAGCCTTGGAACAGAAATATACTGTTGTGAAGCAAGGAACGGACAGATTCCTTGGAATGAAATTTTTTGAATTTCAAATGATAGATGGGAAATCTGTCATGGAACATGTTGATGAGTTGCTGGTTTTGATATCTAGACTCAAAGATTTTAAAGTCGATGTTTCTGAATCTCTTCAAGTGGCTGCTATACTTGCAAAATTACCAGCCACTTGGAATGACTATAGGAAAAAATTATTACATTCTTCCGAAGACTTTAATGTGGACCAGTTGACAAAGCATATTCAGATTGAAGAAGAGTCACGAAAACGTGAAAATAAATATGCTACGGAAACTAGTTCAAAGGTGAATTATGTTGAGTCTAGTAAGGCAAACAACTCAGGAAAATCTGGAAACAAGGCTGGAAAGAAGAGAAAGTTTGAGGCTGCTCCTGTCACGACCCGGATTTCCCACCCTCGGGGGCCGTGATGGAGCCTACTAACGAGAGCTAGGCAAGCCAATTAACAACTACCTCTTTTAACGAACTCTGACAATATTAGGAACAATAAAACATTTAATAAATACGCGGAAGTCTCAATATGATTAACTGAAAGAAATGCGGAAGTTTAACAAAAATCCTCTACCCAAGACTGGTGTCACTAACTCACGAACGTCTACAGAATACTACATACAAAGTCTGAACAAAATACAATACTGGTTGCTTCGGTACAAGTGATAACAAACTGTATAAAACAGAAGGGACCCCGGGCCTGCGGTCGTCAGCAAGGCTACCTCGAATGTCCTTGGGCTGAGAGCTCGTTCCCAAAATGCTACTGCTACTCGAATGCTGCTCCAACACCTGGATCTGTGCAAAAAGATGCACAGAGTGTAGCATCAGCACAACCGACCCCATGTGCTGGTAAGTGCCTAGCCTAACCCCGGCGAAGTAGTGACGAGGCTAGACCAGACTACCAAATAAACCTGTACAGATATATATATGCAAGTACAACAAAATAATAGCGGAAATAACAACTTAAAACTGGGAGGGGAACATGCTTACGGGGTAGCGGATAAGACAGAATATCAGGAATAACAAGAGACTACATATGATTACGTCTAGCACAGAATAAGAGAAAACAAACCACTTTCACTTGTTTCAATTTCCTCTCGTTGCAGGCGTGCAACCCGGTCCGATTTCATAATATCTCGTGGTCGGCGTGCCACACGATCCCATGACATAATATCACGTGGTAGGCGTACCACTCGATCCCATTTCATAATAACACGTGGTAGGCGTACCACTCGATCCCTTTTCATAATATCACGTGGTGGGCGTACCACTCGATCCCATTTCATAATAACACGTGGTAGGCGTACCACTCGAACCCATTTCATAATAACACGTGGTAGGTACCACTCGATCCCATTTCATAATAACACGTGGTAGGCGTACCACTCGATCCCATTTCATAATAACACGTGGTAGGCGTACCACTCGATCCCATTTCTCTCAACACAATACACAAAATAATCCCGGCAAGGGAGAAAAAATGTTATAATAAACTATCCCCGGCAAGGGAGATCCAGCTATAACCGAAATTATTCAATTTCTACTTAACACAATTAAATGAATACTCAGTCTCAACAATTACTGGCTCAGTGTTAAAGATTTCCAACCAAGTCCTCATAAACAACATTAAGAATTCGATAATATAGCAAATTAGGACTCACGGTCATGCTCGACACCAGTGTATAGATACTCGTCACCATGCCTATACACCGTACTCGACAAATAGCAAATTAGCAACAACAAAAGACTCTACTCCTATTCCTCAAGCCAAAAGTTAGACCAAACACTTACCTCGGTCCGAGGAATAGCAATCATCCTAAATACCGCCTTTCCTCTACAATCCGACTCCGAAACAACGGTATCTAGTCATAATTAGTTCAATAATATCAATAAGGACTCAATGGCAACATCCCATAGCCTAGATATGAATTTTCCTAGCATTCTTCCAAAAATACCAAATTCGACACCGGGCCCACATGGTTCAAACACGAGGCTCGGACCAAAACCCAATCACCCATAACCCCACAAGTTCAAATATATAATTTATTTCAAGATTCGACCCTAAATTGAGGTTGAATCACCCAAAATTCCCAAAAATCTAACTCTACCCAAAACCCTTAATTTCTACTTGATTTCATGATTTAGGGTTAGGAAATTAGTAATTAGATGAAGAAATAATGAGGGAATGATGTTAAGATTACTTACCCAAAGAGTTATGGAGGAAGGAGAGCTTGAATTTCGTCATGGAGGGTTTAAGAGAAGAGCTCGTGTGAAAAAAATGAGAAATCCCGTCACCGGTTCTGTTTTTAGGCTTCAAAATAACTGGGCGAATTTGCCCTACGCGATCGCGGATGTAGGGATGCGATCGCGAAGGGTTACACAGAATGGTCAACGCGATCGCGTGGGTTGTAATGCGATCGCGTAAGGGAATACTGGGGGGGGGGGTCCAAAACTTGCTATGCGAACGCAAACCTACTGGTGCGAACGCATTGAAGGAAATGCTAAGGCAGTGCGATCGCGTGATCAAGTACGCGAACGTGAAAGAGTAAAGAGCCAAAGGTACGCGATCGCGGGCTGAAGATTGCGATCGCGTAAGAGGAAATCACTGGGCAAAAAGTTGCAGAGAATTTCTGCTATGTTTTCCTAAGTCAAAACAATCCCGAAACACCTCCGAAAGCACTCCCGGGACCTCGAGGCTCCTAACCAAACACACACACTAAACTCAATAACATCCTAACGAACCTACTCGAGCGATCAAATCGCCAAAAAATAACATCAAATTCAATGGATCAAGCCTCAAAATCATCATTTTCCATTTCAAACTTCTTAAACTTCACTTTAATATATAGTATTAGGTCCGAAACACGTCAAATGACTCCGATTTCGACCAAACTTTACAGAAAGCGCTTAACACATATTTAAGACTTGTACCGGGTGTCGGAACCAAAATACGAGCCCGATACCATAGTCTTTTAATCAATTTTCATTTCCATTTTCCTTAAGAATTTCAGAAAAACAATTTCACAGAAAAATTCATTTCTCGGGCTTTCGACCTCGAAATTCGACTCCGGGCATATGCCCGAGTCTCATATTTTTCTGCGGACCCTCCGGGACCGCCAAATCACGGGTCCGGGTCCGTTTACCAAAAATGTTGACCAAAGTCAACTTTAGCAATATTAATATCAAAATTCTTCAAATTTTTCACAAAGTTCACATATTTCAACATAAACGCTTTCCGGCTATGCGCCCGGACTGCGCACGCGAATCGAGGTAAGTAAAAAATAAGGTTTTCAAGGCCTCGGAAGCACGGAATGAATGAGGAAACAGGTGATGACCCTTTGGGTCGTCACATCCTCCACCTCTAAAACAACCGTTCGTCCTCGAACGGACAAAAGAAGGAAGTACCTGAGTCAGGAAATAGATGTGGATAACGGCTCCGCATATCAGACTCGGACTCCCAGGTCGATGCCTCAGGAGGCTGACCTCTCCACTGCACACGTACTGATGGAAAAATCTTCGACCTCAACTGCCGAATCTGCCTGTCTAGAATGGCTACCGGCTCCTCCTCATAAGACAGATCCTTGTCCAACTGGACAGTGCTGAAATCTAACACGTGGGCTGGATCGCCGTGATACCTCCGAAGCATGGACACATGAAACACTGGATGCACGGCTGACAAGCTGGGCGGCAAGGCAAGTCTGTAAGCCACCTCTCCCACACGATCGAGAATCTCAAATGGGCCAATGAACCTAGGGCTAAGCTTGCCCTTCTTCCCAAATCTCATCAGCCCTTCATAGGCGACACT